GGCTATTCAGGGTTGATTGTGCCGCCTCAACATTGTCGAAAAGCAAGACGATATCGTCCGCATAACTTAGATCAACTAACCTTTCACCAGGAAGCACTTCAACACCTACATCGTGAGATTCCGCAAGGGAACACTACATGATAGAATCCACGACGAAATTGAACAAAAACGGGGAAATCGGACAACCCTGTCGAAAGCCACTTGTAGTCGAAAAGCTATCCGATAGGGCACCATATACCCTGACGCGGCCTGTAGTGTTCGAGTACAGAGCACGAAGGATGTTCACATATTTCGTGGGAACACCTTTCCGCGCAAGTATTTCGAACAGAATCGATCGATCGACTGAATCGAACGCACTCTTGAAATCGAGGAGCACAGCTATTGTCGGTCTGCGGTATGCGTGGCGCTGCTGTAGCACCTGCCGCAAAGTAAATATATGGTCTATACAGCCACGTCCTGGGCGAAAACCGGCCTGCTCTTCCCTAATCCGAGATTCCCGTTCTGCAGTGAGGCGACGAACGATAATCGAGGCCAGTAATTTTGTCACAACTGGCGTTAGGCTAATACCCCTATGGTTCGCACAGTCTGTGCGACTGCCCTCATTGTATATTGCCACTATAATCGATTCGCTCCAATTAGCCGGCACACTCTCTTCGTTCCAGATACGTTCGAATAGGGAGGTCAGTGCTTTGCAGAGGACCTCACCTCCATCCTTAAATAGTACAGGTGGGAGGGAATCCAGGCCAGCGGCACGAAAAGAATTGAGGGCTGTGATTGCGTTTCGGACCTCGGCCTCCGACGGAGGCTCTAAACTAACCGTCCATGGCTCGTCCTGCATCACCTGAGTAGGAAGAGGTCCGGGAGCAGGGAGCCAGCTGAACTGATCTTCAAAGTGTTCAGCCCAACGAGCCATACGGCGCTCCTTATTGTGTATCAGTGCACCCGCGCTGTCCCTGATTGTCTCACTGATGCCTGGTTTTCTGGGACCAGTGGTGCGGATTAGCTGGAAGAGCTTGCGGTAATTGCCTACTGCTCCTGCCTCCTCCATTTCTTGAGCCCGACTGGTCCACCAGGCTTCCTTGTCAGCACGTAAGCTCCGCTTTAGTTCACGCCTAATAGCCCGTCTGGTCACATTGTGTTCAGAACCAGCCGGGAGGTGCCTTCTAGCTTCCAAAAGGTTCACGGACCTCTCGGATATCCAGTGACTGGTGCGATGACGACTGATAGTGCCACAAACAGATGCTCCTGCGTCGTGCATAGTGGCCGAGATCCTATTCCACTGAAGTTCAGTGTCATTAGGACAAGACTGCGAGAGTTCGCTATGCAGTGCTTCTTGATAGGCTTGCCTGACCGAGGGCTGGGACAATTTCTCCGTTGCCAATCGGGGGAGACGCTTTGTGCGCCTTCCAGTAAAGTTCATGGAGAAACGACAGCGCACCAAGGCATGGTCAGAGTCTACACAGGTACTCCAGTACGAGCGGCAATCCAGAATGGAACCGCGCCACCTGTAACTTATGGCTATGTGGTCAATTTGGGTCCATCGCTGACCAGCTACAGGTGGACGCCAAGTGGCACTTCGGCGCCCACTGTGTCTAAAAGCAGTGCTAGTAAGAAACAACTGGTGCTCCGCACACAGTTGCAGCAGACGCTCGCCGTTGTCAGTCCGTTCGGAGTTAAGTCCATACTTACCACCCAGCTGAGCTTCTGAAGAGCTCAGACGCCCTACTTGTGCGTTCATATCCCCTGCAAGTACTACAATATCTGAACTAGCAGTACTGCGTAGCAGCGTGTCCAGTTCGTGATAGAAAGTGTCCTTGACTGCATTAGAACTGCAGTCCGTGGGAGCATAAGTAGAAATCACAAACAAACAGCGTTTTGTTTTACTTCGCGAATTCACCTTAGCTGATGTCGTCAAACGGGCTGCACATAAACGGCTGTTCACCGGAATCCAATCAACCAGCGATGACTCAGCCTTGCAGCTGAGAATGATACCTACACCAGCTTGACCCGTGAGTGTCGCATCGGCGTCTCCGGATGCGTGCAACCAATAACGAGAGGATAAGCCGGGTGCAGTTAATTCAATAACCCCGTTAGGGTCATTGATCCGAGTTTCGGACACACAACACACATCAACACCCAGTGTGTCCAAGGTGCGTGCGAGTGCAGCCTGCTGACCTGTTTGTCTTAGAGTGCGGACGTTGAATGTCGCCATGGAAACGGGACAGCGTGGCCTTATAAGGAACTTTTGCCGATAGGCGTCCGATAGGTGCTGTGGGATGGTGGCTGCAGACGGTACTACTCCAGTAGCACTTCTGTTGCTGTCAATTAAGCTGGGAATTATAGAAGGAAGGTTAGTAATAGGGGCCGGGATGGGAGTAGGAGAAAAAGGTGGAAAAGAAAGAAGGGAGGCGCCAGCAGTAGAATGCTTTCGCTTATCCGCCCTGCTGTATGCAGCAGATAAGGCGACCCTTGATAATCTGCGCGACGGCCGATGCAGGATGAAGTTTATGTTTGAAGAAAATGTCATGGTTGTATGTGGGCTGGGATACTGCCAGGGCGCCCAGACCTAGACAGAAGGACGATTAGGGTCCTCATTCAAAGCCTTTGGCTCAAAAGCCTGTCCGCAAGGCAGCGGGGTGGCAGTGATTTAGTTTTACAGAAATGGACGCCATCCCATTTCAAACCCCCAACGTGGAGGACCAGGAGTCTGAGTTTGTCTGACCTCTCACCATTGATCAACCTGGTAGGAGTAGCTCTCAAGATGCTCGGAGGCATCACCCAATATAGCTCAATGGGTCAATGAGGTACGCAAACCGTCGCACCACGTTAAGGTACAGTCTCGTTGCGACGGCCCAGTCTCGTTGCGACGACATCAAGCGCATGGTGCTGTAGCACATGCGGTCACGAGTGCCTGAGTCAGGCAAGCTTAGTGAGCCACGAGTGAGGCCACTCGGGACCACTACCGAAGCGACGACGGGTCCTGTAGAGAACGTAGGCAGAACCGGCGCAGCGTTTGTAGGTACGCTGCATTCGATTTACTAACCGCGTGCTTGCATGCTAAGTTCCTTTATTTCAGGTGGTGGGTTTTCAATTTTGTCCTAATGCTTTTCTTTCTCAAATAAATGTCCACCCGTACGCTCTTCTATAAACCTGCACAACTCGCCTAAGCCAACCGTAGTTAATTTCGATAACAGTTTCGCGTCTGTGTCATTTCCGTAAAATATATTTTCTGATCCCCTAAACTTATCTCGGATCCTTTGTAAACAACTTATTTCATATGCTCATTAATTTAAGATTTTTGTCACGTTTCCTTATGCATTATCGATTTCTTTTCTTTGTTAGCTTTCTCTCAAGTGATTGGCTGTTGCTTGATATCCCTGGTGTGGCTGCGCCTGATGTGTATGTTGATAAGGTGTCTATCTGTCTATTACCCACTACCTCGTCCATACTGGCTCTAGGAGATAGTTGGTCGTTGCTGGAGGGGACGGGGTGCACGGTCCTTGTGGTCGTGCTAGGCTGGAAGAGTGGTTCCATGCACTCAGTGTGGAGCGGACTACGGTCCAGCCACCGCCTTGTGTGCGCTTGATTCCCCAAATACAACGTGCTTGTGTTTGCCTGTGAAGGAGTGTGGGCCGGCTCCGTTGATGCAACGTGGCTCCCATCCACATGTCTCCCAGTCTTAATTCTTCGGGTTTACACTGGATATGGGGTGTCATGTTGGAGCTGTGGGTGGTGCAGCATAAGCCACCCATGGTCCCTCTGTAGGCGCAGGCGTCCTGTGGCTGGCCACAGTGACAGGCAAATCCGAAACCGGATGCCGCCAACCATATATACCCCCAAAGGGGTAAAATGGGATTTCACCAGGGGTAAAGTAGAAGGGTTGGATTATCGCTCAGTCATGAAACAAAATCAGTGACAAAATCATATGTATCAATTAATCTAACTAGCTAATCACAAGTGATCAGTCATAAGTGACGAATCATCAATGATCTCTTAGTGAATTATAACGTTTCAGGTAGCCAAATGTTGTTAACTAGAATATGAATGCAAGTCTGCATTTTAGAGCTGTTAGATGGCTCGTTTATCGGCTCGCTAGTCGATTGTTGTTCGTTTGAGTCAGATAGTCGTTTGTCGCCCTATTACCAATCCTTGGACGTTAGGTTGGTGTCGCCGATTTTAAAACTCTTGAACGTATCATGGTTTAGCGGACGTGCAGCAAAATCAAGTGAATTAATTAATCATATACAAATATATTCCTGATTTGAAAAATCGTCAAGTAAATATATGGGTGCTAAGAATTCTTACTAGGGATAAGGGAATATTTCCGGATACTGAAACGGAAGCTAAAGCACAATATTCTTTGGACTTCGTGGAAGCAACCCATGAAAAAGTACTATCGAAAACGCACAACCAGCAACATTTTGGGCAAATATCTGTGGCCCGTGTTCATCAGGATCGTAAAAATCATTAAAAATACTGATCCCATTCGACAAACGTGCAAATGTGGATTTTCCACATTGTAAATGAAAAAAGAGCAAGGGACTGTTTTAATTTGGAGCACCACTTATGATGTACAGTAACTGGAACTGCACCAAGTGCTAAATAAATTATCAAAACTAAGCATTATCAACCGTCTCATTAGCTTACAGTATATTGAGTTAATAAAAGAAATTGCACAGAAATATATGCTTTCTTTATTCGAATGATTGCAATTCGTTGAAAAAAGCTTCCATAATTTAAGGCAAAACCGTGCGATAGCGTAGATAATTTGTTTGTCAAGCAAAAGTACTTAATTATATTGGACACAAAAAGGTAGGGAACCACTGATCTAGAGGCTAGATAGTGAATCTAATTCGCTGCTGGATCGCACTTTATCGCGCGTTCAAGTAATGCAGTGTTCGCTTAGGATGCTGTCAAGCCAAAGCAGACGAAGTGAAAACGTAAAAAGCTAGTCAACCAGTAAGGGACGAACAAAACAATACGAACGGGGCACCACTCACCTCAGAGGGCAGAGTGACGCGACGAATTTCAAAATCCACTGAGGGTCCGGAGTCATCTAATTGCAACTTTAAAGAAGCCCCCCATGGCGTAAACAACGGGGGAACGACTTCATCCGGCGCAGCGACGTCGGTAAGACGTTTATCATTTGAACAAAAGGACAAGTGCCTAACACGCATGGCAAGCGAAGTATCCGAAACCATAGCAAAGTGGATCATATGCTCGACACCAAGACTTCTGATGCCTTCAACATTAGGGCCCTTAAATAGGTCTGAGTATAAAAAATGTATGGTGCGATTTACCGATCAGCAGGGATTTCAATGCGACGAATTTGCGGTCCTCGTCAAATAGTGTTCCAGAAAACAGGAGCATTGGTTTAGCGCCGGTTATGCCTGGACCGTACTGTGAAAATTGCAAATTAAGTCAGTGCATCGTACTTTGGGGAGGGATTGGTAACTTTGTATACCTAATTCAAACATATCAAGTATCTCACCGTCATGTAATCGCCCGAGTATTATGTTGTGAGGTCGCTTCTTGGAGTGAAGACCCACCACAAAGAGGGAACAATCATATTTCTGACACATTTTTTCCTAAAATATGACAGCAATAAGCGAAACAGTGCTGAAGACGTGCTATGAATGAAGCATCCTCGAAAGGTAATATGGGATTCCGCCACTTCAGTTTGCAAACAAGAGGAGCTTTCAGGAGACACTAAAGATAAGCCGTGTACAGAAAGCACACATTACAACAGCGTTAATAAAATCATTGGTAGTTTGACTTGTATGACCACCTTTGAAAACTAATGTGTTTTTGTCATTTTCCACAATTTTTGGTGCTCTTGATTCCAGGAACTTTCGACCCTTATGTGTCTTCGGTTTGCTTTAAAAGATATAACCTGAAAAATAGAGAAGCTTACTTCACGTGTAAACTAACTGGCATGGTAGTTTTCTGCGAACTGCAAAAGAAGGGGGAAGGTTAAAGGCGGCCAAGGATAAGTCGGGCATTATCAGCAAACAGAATAATGAAGTTTGAAGCATGCAATGCTAATATGGCAACAACATGCCAGCGCCGAAAAACCGCATTGATAAAAAATAAGAGGGTAAATAATAACTGAGATGAATATCGAACTGAAGCAAAGCAGACACTAACAAGTAACAAACAAATAAAAATGTGGTAGCATTCACAAGATGATCTTCTTAAGATCCTCACAGGAAGGTCTCATGCAGTATTGAGAAAAACAAGCTAGCTTCCATTGTGGTTATGGGTGTGTTTATCAGATCTTCACACTCCGCCGAATCACCGAATGTCACCACCTCTACTAGACGCCTATCAGCGTTGCCTTCCTAGACATTCGTGGTGCATTCGATCGACTTGCGCTATCGCGTTGCTTGCTAGGGAACGAAGTCCCAGTAAAAAATACTGCCATCCTACGAGCGCACTACTTTCACGTCTCCGGCAAAGTGAGAGTTTATGTTAAGCCTTCTTACTCCTACGCTGTCAAGAGATGTGCGCAACATGGCTGTCCTATGCCCCGTCCCTCATCAATTTGGCGATTGAACATGTTGTGTCTAAAGTTCTGAAAGGTTACCAAATTTGGTCAGCAGCTACTGCATGGTAGACGAGTTAAAATATGCTGATAACATCGCATAACACAATGAGAACTCGCAGAGTATGCAACTTATTTTGAACCGACTGGCGATTGAGGCATCTAAATACTCATTAGGATCCGCCACATCGAAGCGTATGGTCCTGCTTAAGGATTACACACACTAGTTCCCGTGCCCACCCTAACAGGTGGTACACAGCTCGAACAGATGGATAGTTTTGTCTACCCAGGCAGCTGCGTGTCTGGTGGTGGCACCATTGGAAAAACGTTTACCTCTGAATCTCCATAGCTACGTCGGCGTTTGTCAACCTGGAAACACTTGTGGCGTAGTCTGGATGTGATCCCTTGTGGACTGGACTCGCTACTCTATTTAACGCCAGTTGGAACAGTGAAGAGGTACCTTCAGACTGGTGACTGTCAACCGTCGTGCACATTTTCAAGAAGGGTTAGCGCACTTTGTGTGAAAATCCTCAGAGCATCAGCCATGCTTCCATTGCATTCAAACTCCTCACGAGTATCATTGTCCGACGACTTACTGGTTCCTGTTAGAACCGTACCACCGAAAGCCAGGCCGGCTTCCGCTTTTAGCCGAGTTTTAGAGCAGACACATACAGACGACCGCTTATGGTCGTTTTCCTTGACATGAAAGCCGCCTTAGACTCCGTTGACCGCGCCAGTTTGTGGCACTGCCTAGTCATGAGGAGCGCGCCGGCTAAATTCCATTCCGTTCGTAAGTTTTTCTAGTGTGATACACGAGGACGTGTAAGGATCAATGTGAAACTGTCGCCTGAGTTCATCATGACAAGTAGGGTTCGCCAAAGTTGTCCTATATCTCCTTTCCTCTTCAACTTTGTCATGATCATGATCATGAGTGACTCTGTTCTTTCGAACTCTACCGGAGTGGAAGTTATGCCAGGTGACCGACTGACAAACCTGGATTATGCGGACGACAAAGCTATTCTTGGGTCCGATGCAGTGGTTATGCAAAACACTGCTGGATAGACAGACGCGTAGCCCCGCACGCTTCGGCATGTGCTTTGCACCTTCAAAGTGTAAAGTACTGCTGCAGGATGAGACCGATACACCTCCGGTTCTAGCTATCACCGAATAGCCACTGGATGTGGTGGATCGGTTCACTTAGCTTGGTAGCTATGTCGCTTCTGGTGGTTAGATAACTGAGGAAGTTACTTCGCGTATCAGCAAGGCCCATGGCTTTCCATAGCCCAACCATCTATGGAGACGGCAAAATGTCAGCCTGTCAGTAAAAGATAAGGTGTATAACGCAGCGGTAACGCCGATATTACTCATTGAATCAGAGAGCTAGCCGGCTCGCGACGAAGACATTAAACGCTTGGCCTTACTGGACTACCGGTGCTTACGGAGAATCGTTTACGTCTGGTGAGCAATGCTTAGGTCCACCAGTTGGCATTTGGAAAGAAACCTTCTGGTGTCTCACCAGAGTGTTTGCTTAATCTTAATCGATTGCGTTGGCTAGGCCATGTCCTCTGTATTCCCATTGACCGGATTCATCGGCCTATATTATGCGCCCTGGCTGCACCAAGTCCGGCGAAACCGCGAAGTAGCCACTCCATGAAGTGGCATAGTGGAACGAAAATTGACAGAGACTTGGAAGGGCTGACGCCTACCGTATTCCTAGATGAGGCCTCGGAATGGTTCATACAGATGGTTGGAAACCGTATCAACATGGCGCAGTTACGCAGTCCGTGGTTGTTAATTTTCGTTACATTCTGATTAGGATAACGCACTTCCTTTGTTCACATTCTAGTTGCCTTTAGCCGCACAATCTTGCCGCTGTTATGTATTGTCATTCTTGCGACCTGAGTCGTGGCAACTGGATTCACCGCACTTTGGTGCTCGAATCGCAGTTGATCAAAGGAACCGAACTGGGTCTAGATGTCTCGCTTATAGTAAAACGCAGGGTCTACAGTGCCTCTGGTTGAGCGGGGTTGCTGTAAAGAAGCGAGTCGTGCCCAGCTCGCGTGGATGACATCCGCCGATTCTCGGTCTTTGACAATGTGTGATAGAGGAGGATGGCTCGCGTGTGGTGACAGCAACGTATTTATAACGGTGAAGTCAAACACTGTGTTTTGGGGGATAGTAATATTCCTTACAACAACTTGGTTTTTCTGAGCCAGTTAAGATGAATCGGTCAAGTTTTGCGTGTTATCTAAGCGTTCATCCCATCTTACCCTGTTCGTTCCTGCAGGACACGGCTGGAAGAGATCACGTGGTCGTCTACCTGGCGACAGCATATGTAACTGTTTACTTCATGTCCAGTGGCTGATGGATACATACCTGCCTGGTTGGGGACCGAGGGGCAAGGAGTACTTATAACTCAAAACCAAGGGAAGATTTGTGTAAATAATTCTTTAGATTCTGACGTTAAATGCCCAACAAAAAGGAAAAATAGCGGGTGAAGAATAGACAAACAAACAAGCGCTTCGCTTTTTATCACTCCTTTCTGTCATGTCTTGTTGAGTTGTATACTTGTGGACGACTTGTAGTGGTATCGGAAATACGGGAGGTTTAAGTTTCTTAGGAAAAGCAAAAACTTAAGGAAAAGCTAACTCACAGTCAAATCTCAGTTAAGTCCTGCTTATGATAAACGGTGAATCTGCCAAGCAGGTTGAACACAATGGAAACAGACGTTCAACCATACTTAACAGGAGATATGCGACTTTCAAGAAGACTCGAAGGCAGCGTACACAAACAGCAGCAACACAGTCGAAAATCAGTGTGAACGCGGAGTTCGAAGGTGTATTCTAGTGTTACACGTCGAGTCAAACAAAGCGCACAAAAGGTGTGATAAAAATAATTACGCGAAAGAAAAAATGTAAGCAATAGTGGTTAGACCTTTCCCCTAGCTAGAATTATTTTTACGGTGCCTTCAGTTAGCGGGATTTTACGATTGGACAATAAACGTATATCACGTCCTTATATTCGTCTTTTCAAAACTTATCCTTGGGGCGGAACCAACCTGACATTATAGCGACCGAACGATACCGCTATAACTGGTGACCCGACCGAAAAGTTGGTAAGCCACTTTTCATTGAGTTCATTGTGCAGTAGAGAGCAGAAGTGAGGTCTCGTGTCAGCTCCATCACTTCCCGATCTTCTAAGGATTGCAGGCGTAGTAGCTGTGGCATAGCTCAGGATGTAGTATCCGTCCTGCAGGATCCTGAAGTACTCAGTAAGAAGAGGTCTAGCAAAAGTTTGAAACTCGCTTCTGACTGCGCATTGACAATCGGGTCCGGCAGTCGATTCTAGTCATTAATTACTCGAGTAGAGAGAGTAACATCTGAGCGGACTTTGAACCTCCTCGGTTTAAACAGCTTCCAGCTGTGAGCTCGAGTCGAACTGCCAAGTCTTAGCTGAAGAAACTGCCTCAGCTGGTTTCCTAGTTCCCCGCGTAGGATATGCTTAGTATAGACGAGGTCTCCGCGACGTCGGCGATAGTCTAAGGGAAAAAGTTTCATCCTCTGTAGTAGGGTGGGATACGGGAGTTCGCGTAGCCCAAGGACAAATTTCGAGGCGCGTCGCTGAATTTTTTCTATCTTGTCACTTTCACACTTCGATAGAGGGGCTATGGCGGGAAGTCCGAATTCAAGGATGGGACGGATGTGGGAGGTGAAAAGAAGTCTAAATATCTGCGTCGTCATTTTAGAGAATGACCTCCTTATGACGCCCCACATCCTGTTCACCAAAGTAGTTTTCTTTAATGTGTTGCGGATAGTTTTGAGAGCAGAGGATACTATTGTCCCCACGTTCTTTTCCTGTGTGGCAATCTTGAGTAGGTGCCCGCCACTGTGATAGATGTCCAGTGGTTCAGCAGCACCGATGGAAAGAACAGAGCACTTATCTTTGTTAACCGGCAAACCCCACTTGATAGACCAAGCGTCTTCGAGGCTGGACACTTCTGATCTGCAAGTGGCTCGCATAAATCGCACTGATGATGTCGTCTAGCCTGACGATGAAACGTCTGCAACCAATTCAACCAGGTCGGAGAACACCCTCACTTCTGACCATAGTTTGAGGTCATCTGCAAAGATCAGACAGCCCGTTTGTAGCATACTTGGTAGATCATTGATATATATCTTGAACAATTCCGGTCCGAGAACGAAGCCTTGTGGTACGCCACTCGACATAGGCACTGGAAATGAAAAGATATCATTTACCTTGACTTGCATGTTCCGGCTTTGCAGTCACTGATCCATAGTAGGAGGTTCCCTGTTATGTCAATTCCGCAGAACTTAGATAGTTCCTGATGAGGCACTCTGTCAAAAGCTTTTCTGAAGTCGACGAAGACCACATA